CTTTGGTGCCCTGTTAGGCCAAGTCTGTACCATTGAAATGAATGACTTCATTTGCTTCAGAACACTGGCAAAAAAAACAAAAAAAAACAATTCCAGTAGTCATAGACGTCTCAAAAGTCTCAAAAGCCCAAAGGAAAACACTCACTTCCTGAGTCTGTTGGACAGAAAATATCTAAACATGTTCTTTACCACTAAAATGGTCCAAAACCAAAACGTATCAAGTCCATGAACTCTGGAGATGAGAATAACACACAGTAGGTCCTCCACTAAAGAGGGTAGAACACGGGTACCCTTTTTTTTTCTGTAGTCTTTTTAAGTAGGGGAACCCCCCCCCCCAAAAAAAAAAGAGTGAGACTTGGCAGTACTGGGGGACCTAGCAAATATTCCTTTCAGCCAATAGGTGATTCTTGGCGCGGCCCCGGCGAAGGGCTCGCCTAGCAAGCCATCCGCCAGCTCCCGAGGCAAAGCGCGCTCCATGCTCACGGAGGGTATCTTGCCCCGCACGGCGCCTGCGAGGCAAGGCTTCATCGTGCTCAGAGGGAATCGCCCTCTGCGGTTTGAACATGAGCCGGTTCTGGGGATTCCCTTAAGGCTAGGTCCTCCAGTAGAGAGGTTAGAATCAGAATAAGGCTACCAACTTGTTTCTGTAGTCGATTTTAGTAGGGGAACCCTCCCCCAAACAAGTTGGTATAAAAGGGCACTACTGGGGGACCTAGTCTTGGTGCTCAGCAAAGGGAATGGCTTTGGGTTTGGGCATGAGCCGGTGGGGATTCCCTTCAGGGAAACCCGGGATTTGTACTCAAACAAGCGATCGATGCGATGAGTCGATGGTAGCTAAGCCTGGCTATATCCTACAAGAGCAGGGCTGTGGGAAATGGAATCCACGAATCTGTGATACCAGAAAAAGGTCCCCCAAAGACTACGACTCGCCATTCGAAGAGGGGATTCCCAACAGTATCACAGAAGTGGGATCGGATAAACCCCTTGCGATCCCACAACCCTGCACAAGAGCCATGGTCATAAATCTCAGTTTAGTGGGTGGTTTCCCCAGGCTTACGAACCAATTCCCTGACGTCCCCTGCCCCTTTAAGGGAATGACCTTCCGTGTCTGGAATGAACCGTGAAGGGATATGGCTTATCTTGGAGTCATTCCCTCATTCGCTGCTGAGCACCAGCAAGTCATAGCTGTCCTCTTGGAAAGATAGATGGATTTCCAGTTTAGAGTATGAAACCACCAGGTCGACCGGGGCCATCAATTCGCCACCGAAACAACCAAAAAGTACACCTATGGGCATAAACAAAAGCTGAGCGGTCTTTGAAACCGGTATTGACAAATATTGACAACTTCTATCGCAAGTTCCGCGAAAAAAATCCGTGCAGCGACAGGCTGCGCCCAAGCGACTTGCTTTTGCCGTGCCCCGTGGATCTGTGCGAGCGCGCATGCTGAGCGCAAGTCCGCAGGTGCGGGCATGAGTGCGGGCATGCGGGGCGGGCGAGCACGACGTGCGTGGCAGAAGAGAGGCGTTGTGTTTCTAGGTCCTCCAGTAGAGAGGTTAGGAAAAGGGCAGGGGGACCTAGGTTTGAAAGTCACAGGAGGCGTCTTCAAAGCTTTGAGAATGAGCACGTTTCTCTCGCAAAGCAAAGCTGGCCCAAGGCCTTCCAACTTCCACGCCGCGAGAACAATGGGCCCCTTGGCTTTTGCTTCGGTCATCCGACCGATTCTGCGACTCGGGGGGGGGGGGCGACTTTATGCCCTTTATGCCTCTAGCCCCTGTAAGCCTCGGGCGTCGGCTTAGCCGCGTTGATTGACTACATTGCCCAGGCCAAAGGATCCAAGCACCCTCTGAGGATGTAGTTAGGAGGTCCAAGTGCCTCCAAAAAGTTCCAAGTGCTAAGGGTCCAAGTGCCTCCAAAAAGGGTCAAACTGCATCCTCAGATGGTAGCTGGACCCTCTCGGTAGGCCTTCAAAGCTTCCGCGGAAGCTACAACTTCACCAGAGTTTCGACGCTAGGACGGCTTCATGTCAGCTCGTCTTTAAGACGCACCGCTCGGCATTTTTGCTCGGACGCCAGCTCGTCTTTTGCTTTGGCTCAAGAAAGGAATTAGACCACAGTCTTGAGAGTTGCGTTTGCCCGTTTGCCCCGTCTCCCATTTTGCAAGGCTTGGGACATTCATACCACTGCATGGCCATTAGAACTGATATGATCTGCCTGAAAGGCAAAGGCTACCGGCCCTTACAAATTGCATTCTCAAAGATGCAATGCGGTTGAACACACTCAACAAGACATGGATGCTTCCTTTTTGAGGGAACCCGTGTTGCGGTTGGTTGTTCTGGGAAACCAAAAGGACACCCACTATTTTGGAGGTCCAGCCCAACCAGCAAAAAGCCGAGACACCCACATGTCGACTGGTTTCAGGCTTCTCTTGAGGCGGGGGCTATAGTTCACGTCGTACTTGCCCGGCGCGGCCACGTCGTCTTCGGCAAGGGACTGGCGGCCTGGGGAATCAGCGCCCCAAGATCGAGGGGATCCCAATGCGTCCGGTTGAAGGAACATCGACTCCACTCCGGTGATTTCCCATTTGCCGATATAAGACCAAAAGGTAAATGGCGAAGGGTTACCTGTATAACCCTTCTGGGTCAGCCTGATCAGCGTCTTTATCTGGGTCTGTTTTGTTTGAATGTACACAAATACTTGGTGGTTGTGCAGGGAAACCAAAAGGACGACCACCAGTTTGTGGGGCGATTTGCGACATGAGCTCAGTGCCAAGCAGACTTACTGTGCAGATCTGTCGGATGCGAGTCTTTCCCATGTTGTTCAATCTTCAGTTCGGCCCCCCAAATAACCATGCGTTTTTTTTTTTTTGTTTCCCATTTAGCAGGTAAGGTCATGTTTGTGGGTGTCCAGCCAATGGTCATCCAAGGTTCATCCGACCTTTTGATTAACCCGAATATGTCTTTGCAATATCCATACATACAAAATACAGACCCCTGGTCCAAAGCCCTACCTCCAAAACCCACCAGGTCACCAGCTTCCAGCTCAGTCCAGAACTCATCCCCAACTAACCCTGCTTAAATTCTTTCCATTTAGTAAAGTCGTGCTTGTGGGTGTCGAAAGCCAATGGTCAGCTTATGTTCATCTGACCTTTTCATCAACCCCAATATGTCTACAATATCACAATATCCATGCATCAAATATAGACCCCTGGTCCAACTGACCCGTAAATTCTGTGTCAGCCATTGGTTATCACAATATCCATACAAAAAAAAACAAAAAACTGGTCCAAGACCAATGGGTCCTCCCAGCTTCATCTTCCGCCATTTTGCTCGAGCTCGAGCTCCGACGTTCCGAGCTCCGGGCCCAAGGTCTTCGTAAAGTCCCAGGCCGGCGGGCGCTGCTTGGGGTAGCCCTGACAACGAAAACCAAAACCGACCCGACGAGGAAGCCTCGAGTTACGAAGGAGCGAGCGGAGCGACTGCTGTAAGCGACGTCGGCAACGAGGGGGCCAGGTGCAACGAAACACCGTTGGTGCAAGACTCGGTTGCGGAATCTGCGAAGCCCTGCTAAAAGTGAATAACTTTTAGTGGTTTAATGCGGAAAACCCATGAGTTGGCAAAAAGTTAAAGTCCTAACAGCCAAGCAAAATGCAACAAAGAAGAGGACATGGCAGATTTCTCAGCTTCTGAAAAGTCGCCTTGGCTTTGCCAGTCATTCGTTGCCTAACCCCACTAGGTCCAGTAGAGAGGTTAGAATAAGGCTACCAACCATTTTCTGTAGGAACACCACCATGTTGGAGTCCCCTATAAAAAAGGATGTTGGAGTCCCCTAGAAAAAAGGACACTCCCAGGTGAGACCATATTTTTGCAAGCGCCAACATCTCAACGGCCGGCTCCAACCGCCTTCGAGGCAAACCTTTATGGACTTTGCAGCTTCCACTTTGGGCTAGGTCCCCCAGCAGTGCCCTTTTTTTTTGGGGGGGGAGGGTTCCCCTACTAAAATAGACACACAACATGGGAACCCTTGAAGAGAAAAAAAAACTGGCTCGCAAGACCTTTCTAGTATTTTCTAGTGTTCACGTGCTACTAATAGTCAGAAGCCCACGACTGCCAGTCAGGATCTCGGCCGGTGCCCTACTTCAAGGGTCATGGCACAAACAATCAACTGCATGACACATGGCTATACTGACAGGGATCTACTGGAATGTACAGTACGCTGTATACCGCATGCAGCCTGGTCAGAGCTGTGTATTGATTGTTGCTTGCCTTATGTGTTCTGTATCTTCCGTTTGCTAAAGAAGTGACACATTCCTCTAGTCCAACACGTCTGAAAGACGAGATGATCAAGCCAAAGTTCATATAATACCAGCTTCAGACATCAATCCTGAATCCTGAGTTGATATCGGAATGTCCACCTCGCCAGCCATGATTTTGCTTTCCACGTGCAAGGAGCGATGCCCACATTCATCCGAATGAGTTCCTGATAAGATGTCTATGCCCCATGAGCTTCACACAAGCAATAATCGCATGAGGCAGCGTCAAAATCACTTGTCTGTCGTGTGTTCATTGGACGTTACGTTTCGCTTTTCAGATGTTGTCTCAGGTTTTGGGGTATCGTTTTTTGGACGTCCCGTATTGTTGCTTCAAGAAAACCCGCAAAAACAACATGACGTGCATGAAACACTCCTTCATAAGATAAGTGATGGAACAATTTGAAGCCAACTCACAATTTAAGGGATAACCATCAGCATTAACTAGTGTAAGCATCCTGCTAACGCGCACATTAGAACTCGCATTAAAGAGCAGCAACAACAAGGGACCCATGATTACAAACAGCTACCCGAGAGTGCCGGAAACTCTCGAAGCCTTCAGATCCTGCTGGTACATGTCCTTTGCCGGCTCTGTGATGCGGTTGAACTGCAGCTGTGGGTATCGCCCCACCTGGGTGCCGCAAGCAAGATGCGAACGCAGCCAACCTCGCTCTACCATTGAGCTTTGTAAGCAGAAGTTCAAGTGCACCAGCAAGCAAGCAAGCAAACAATCAAGCCAGCGAGCTAGCACACAAGCAAGCAAGCACAGCCAGCCAGCCAGCCGGCCAGCCAGCAAGCACAGCAAGCACAGCAAGCACAGCAAGCACAGCAAGCACAGCAAGCACAGCAAGCAAAGCAAGCAAAGCAAGCAAAGCAAGCAAAGCAAAGCAAGCACGCAAAGCAAGCAAAGCAAGCAAGCAAGCAAGCAAGCAAGCACAGCAATCAATCAATCAATCAATCAATCAATCAATCAATCAATCAATCAATCAAGCAAGCAAGCAAGCAAGCAAGCAAGCAAGCAAGCAAGCAAGCAAGCAAGCAAGCAAGCAAGCAAGCAAGCAAGCAAGCAAGCAAGCAAGCAAGCAAGCAAGTCAGAAACAGAAAGAAGCAAAACACACAATCAAGCCAAGCCATCAGCATACAACCAGCACAATCAGATTGTACCAGATACATTGGTGCTCCAGCAATGTAAGCAGCAGCAATTCCCTCATGTTCGAGCCAAGAGGCGCCTCAATCGTTTTCTGCTGTTTTTTTCACTTTGAAACAACACATTGATCATTGATCTATTTACACACGGATGGTTCTGTGCCTGCTGATGCTAAACAACACCGGGACAAACACATATGCGAACATCTCCCAGTACATGCTTGCTCACTCTGATCATTGTCTTAGTGCAAAAAAGCCACCAGAGGGACATGCCTTAGATTTCATGATCACCTTGAGAGAGGCACGCTGCCTGTAGAGACCGCGCCAAGCATTCATTGGCTCAAGTTCTTTGGTAGAGACTGGGTTTCAACTCAGTTGATTGCGAAAAGCACATCTTAGAGATAAACACCAAGCCTCGAGCATCAGCGTGTGCGTTCGCAGAACTAACTCAAAACCCGGGCGGAGCGCCCCAGTTTGGTTTCCGGTCGTGACTCGTTTCTTCCTGGGCACCGCTTCCGGTTTTGGCGCATCGCTCTCGAATCTCCGAATTGTCATATCGAAACAGAGCGCTCTGTTTCTGAAAAATGCCCGCTCGCAAGTTTCACTCTCCTGTTTTGAAAAATGCCTGCGTGTTCATAGTGAGTGCTGCCAAATTTTCACAAGCAAACAAAAGACACGGGCGAAAGGTTTTCGGGGCTCTTCCATCAATGAATCATTTCCTCCACCTGTCTGGAAAGGCAAAGGGGCAGCCATTTGTGGTTGGGACTAGCCCTTGCTAACCTTGATCTGATTGGAGCAAGCGTCTCACCTGGATATGATTGCCCTAGGGTTTCTGAACACCCCGGCAGGCCGGCTCACATGGGGGAAGGGGTAAAGCTGTGAGTGTAGTAGTTGATCTCCCGACAAGGCTCACCCCATGGTTCATGGGACCGTTTGATCAACCCCAATGTGTCAAGGGCTGTCTGGAACTGCTGTGCTAAACCAGGCGCTAGCTAGAGGCTGCAAGGGTTTTGGATTCGATGTTTGAAATTTGGGTTAAATTGTTGTTTTTTTGGGGGGAAGGCTTACATCCAGGATGTTCGTGGATTTTCATGATCAGGTCTGGAGAAGTGTCCAACATGAGTGGTCCGGATCTTTATGCCTTCATCTGTCCATCATGCGTACCTGACAAATCTGAATGAATTCCAAACAACACAAACCCAACTTGAAATTCAAATACGTCTTCCTTCCAAAACTGTATGCAAAATTCCAATTCCAATTCCAGTTCCATGGATTTTCCTCGTGGCTGGAGTCGTGATCTAAAAATCTGCAAGCCTCCCTCTGGGGCGTTTCACGCGCATGGAGTTGTACTGATCCCAGTTCGGGGTCTTCGCCAAGTAGCCTGCAGGCAGCCACGCCAAGGTGGGGCTTGTCTCTTGAAATGGCCCGGGTTTTTCCGCTTGGTTTTTGCTACATCCAAAAATATTCTTTGACTTTACCCGTTGAATCTGGGGTTTCGTGACCTTCACCACTGCCACTTTTTGCTAGCCACATTAGGCATCAAGAAAGGACGCATGGCTTGTCTTGAAATGGCCCGGGTTTTTAGCTAAATCCAAAAAGAAATGTGGCTTTTTTCTTGCTATCTTTAAATGTGGCTTGGTTTTTGCTTTAAATCCAAAAAGAAAGGGGTACCCTCAGCAAATACCCAGGACGGAAATGGTATGGCCGCTGCATGTTGGAGCATCGGAAATGGTATGGCCGCTGCATGTTGGAGCATCGGTGCGAAACAGAGTCGGTGAACTCTGAATGAAGCTTGTTGACGCAGCAAAGAAGGTCACTTGATGGCGCCTGACATACTGTATCCCGACATGCGTCAAGCTCAATCCAGATTACACGAGTCCAGCGGCCAAAACGCGCACCCTCGTTGGCTGAGCATTTGCCACGGGAAATGACATCGGAAACACCTCCAGACTCCTCGATCAAACGCCCTTTTGAAACCCCAGTGTTATGCTGTGCAACCTATCAATGGAACACACATAAAGCATTAAACATGTGTTCAATAAAAGTGATGCGTCAGTACATTACATTGACGCAAATTGTAGAAGGGATGCAGTCTGACATGAAGCCTATTGGCCTGTCGCTTGAATGCCTTTCACATCGGCCAAGGCAGTGGAACAGGTAGCCCCCCAGCCCCCTTCTGAAGGACCAAGCCAGCATGATGACTGAACTGCTCGTTGCTCACCAACATGATGTTGGCAAAAAGTGTACAGTCGAAATCGTGTAGTCCAAACAAATCCGGGGGAAATTCGTGCAATGGTCCAAGATCTTGAGGCGGCCCTGAAAAACAACCAAGAATAATCAAGAGTCATCCCATGCCGGTAGTGACGGATTCGACAAGACTGCCGAGTGTCTGGGTGGCTTTGTTTCACCTCAACCACAAACAATTCTTCTGCTTGCTCGATTTTAGGTGCCCTAAGATGAGCAAGTCGCTTAAAAAGGCAACGGAGCAACTTGAGAAAACAACATCACAGGATGCCAAGCAGCCACCTCCCTGCTCTTCCCCAAAAAATCGTTGTGTGGGCAGTGAGACTACACCAAAACATGTGCAAGGGAGTTGGGAAGTGGTCGGAAATGGCAAAGCACCAAACCGTATAAGACGGTGACCAAACAAGATCAATACGATAATCCTGACGACAAGATTGTACTGCAGCCCAACGATTGAGTCCAGGCCTTATCAAGCAGGCTTGCTTTGAATTAATCGCGGATCGTTCTTGGAAGTTTTTCGCGTCATGGCCCTTCCGGTGGCCATACGTGCCATCAACTGGATATTAGAGAGAACCCTCTGGCAAAGCAATCGCCGCGCCTTCTGTCTGCGATCGATGAAAGCCACCTTCCCTTGGAGCGCGGCAAGTTTTGAGCGCCCAAAGGTGTATGCCACACGTTATCCGCTCCATTCAGGAATCACCCTTTGTGGGGGCTTGGCCGCGTTCATCTTCAGTACATAGGAAAATACTCCAACCAAATGAGGACGAACGTGGAGGAATGACACGTTAATAAACTTTTCTGGGCTGGACATGAACCTTGAACAGAAACTGGAACCGTGTTCGTGTTGTTGCAGGGAGGTGTTTCAACGATGCAATGCTGCTGCAAGAAATTAAAGCGCGACAACGTACAATTGATTGAGAGGAGAAGAGCAAACGAGTTGGGCGTCATGCACAACAACATTTCTTTCTCTTGCTAGGTTGGTCTCATGAGCAAGAATCCACAGTTTTGAGCCTGCTCCGAGGCATAGCTGAAGCATACCTGGTGCGTCTCAACAAGATTCCGCCAACATCAAGACAGCAGTCTTCACGCGCCACATGAGCGTGAGCCCAAGACTTGCTGGTGCTCAGTAGGAAATAACCCAGGGTGTGGGGAACGAACCGAAAGAGGATTCCCGCAAAAAAAAAACATACGGGATGGTGTATAGGTTGTCATTCCCTCATTCTCTGCTGGGTTCTCAGCAAGAAAACGATGCTATGGCGCAAGTTCGAAACCTGCTGCCATTTGACTCCATCTTAGTCCCTTTGGGTGCATGGGGCATCCCCAACGCGATCCGACGCGTTTATTCTTTTCTCCGGCTTCATGAAATCAGAGGGGCTCTATGTGCAGCTAGGTCCTCCAGTAATGTTGACCCAGGATTAATAAACCCGTCCCATTATTAGGGGGGGGTTCCCTCCAAAAGTGATGAATCCCCACTGAAAGGTGGCACCCCCCTATTAATCAACCGGGGGTTTATTAATCCGGGGTTAAAATTAGTAGAGAGTTTAGAATAAGGGGTACCAACTTTTGTCCTGTAGTCTAGTTTAGTAGGGGAACCCTACCAACCAAAAAAGAAAGGGTGAGAAAGGTTGCACCTAGCTGGGGGACCTAGTATTGGCAATGCCCGTCCCACTTTTCTGCCTCCACTCATCCTCGATCTTCTCGACGTCAATGCCCGTGAGGCTAAATGTCCTGTCGCATCAGGCTTTGACTTGTCAGAGCCGTCCTGCGAAAGTTGGAGATCCCTACTTTGGGTATGTGTCAAAATAGGGGGACCCTAAGAATGGTGCCTGTCCTTGTGGTTTCCCTTCACACCACACCCAACAAGGGTAGCCTAAAAAGCACACACAACCCCAGTTGCTCCTATTTCCTTACAAAAATCCTGCTCAAATGAAAGCGGAGTATCATCTACTCGTGTCTACCAGGCTTCCAACGAATCTCCACCCCAAATGGGAAACTTGGGCACTGCAGCGAAGCAAGGCTGCCCTCCCACGAACAAATGTGAAGGGCCCTTGAGCTAGGTTTGCTGTACCGACCCCTCAGCAAAAAGTTGCTCACTTTTTGTGAGTCCACAGCAAAAAGTAGTTCTCTTTTTGTGAGTCCAAGCAACAATCCACTATTTCCCAAAAAAGTTAGGTCCATCAGGGCTGGGGATACACCACTTCCGCCGACTCTCAGCTTGACGGTCCCTGTCGGCGGCGCCGGCCCGCCGGGCGCTTTGGGCGAAGTTGGGCCATCTTTGATGGCCAACGGCCTCAGCTGGCCACTGAAGGAAAGCCAAAAGGGTTGAACCCTGTTGCATCTGATTTTGACATATAGGTCCTCCAGATTTGAGAGCTTAGAATAGGGCTACCCGATTTTTTTCCGTAGTCTATTTTAGTAGGGGGAACCCTCCCAAACAAAAAGGGTGAGAAAGGGCACTACTGGGGGACCTAGTTTTGTATATATGTATAATATATATATATATATAATGTTTCTTGTTGGGGGGGGGGCCCTAAAAACAGACAGACCTAAAGGGGAGCTGCTTAAAGGGGCAGGGTACCTCAGGTAAGCGGTTCGTAGGCCTGGTGAAGTAACCCACTGAACGGAGACTTGTAACCATGGCTTTTGCGGGGAATAACCAGGCTTACTCACCATTAAGCAGCCTGCCCCTTTAAGCAGCCACTGAAAATCAACCCAAAGCAACTGGAGGTGCTGAATCGGAATTGGTGCAGGTATCAGACTCTCAGGTGCTCGGTCGGTTTGTATGGGACAAAAACATTTCGTTCTTCAAGTGGAGAAAGGGAAACAAGTCACTGAAACAAGTCACTGAACCAGTCGCTCCTCGAGGTTCCTTTGTTCCGTTCCCGGCAATGCAGCTGTTTGCAGGAGCTTGTAGATGAATCTGCCGAGTGCCTGTTCGATTGCCCAGTAAGCGAAATGTTCAAGTGATTGAGAACCCTTCTAGGAAGTTCCGCGAAGTCAGGAAAATTAGTGTCAATTTGGGAATGCAAGCCCCTCACTCTCCCAACTGCCACGCTACTGTAAAACACCATCCTCCCATTTTGCTTAGGGGAGAAAAGGGGAGAAGCTTCACTGAGGCAAACAGAGCTCAGAGTCCGGAAAGAAGACGCTACCTCCCGGTGAACAGCCGAGGAAAAGATCAACACTAGGTCCTCCAGATTTGAGAGGTTAGAATAAGGGTACCAACTTGATTCTGTCTATTTTAGTAGGGTTCGGAACCCTCCCCGAAAAAAGATGGAGAAAGTTGGCACTACTCGGGGACCTAGAACATGAGCCCGGAAGCTTTGGACCGGGGGCGCCGACGGCCCTGCGCCGAAGTCTGGCACCTGAGCGCGTGAAATCGAAGATCCAACCGGCGAACGTGGCGAGACATCGGCGGAACCCCCTGATTTCTTTGGTAGGTAGCTTCCCATGCCACAAGTTCCAGGGGTTCAGATTGAATTATTGTTTTGCTGGTGTTCCGGGCGTAGCTTCCCATATACCCTCTACAATATTCGGTGCAAATCCCAGTTTCCACCAATCCAAACCACCAATTCAGGGTTACCTGAATACCACAAGGGGGAAACCAAGCTCCGTAACCACCGTTCACATCTTCAGCGTCATTTCACCCCAAACAGAAACCGAAGGATCTAGATAAAGAAAAGCCAGGTCAGCGGACAAGTGTTTCGAGTTTGAACTGGGGGTATCGGTTTTGGGCGATCCCCTACCAGTTTTGCCGAGCGCCCCGAGTACTACTCACATATCATATGGCTGTGGGTCAAACCCTGTACTTGATCCCTGGTGAACATCAAAATAGGTGGCAAATGGATGTTCATCCACCCCAAAATGGAGCCATAGGTCATGCCCCATGGCAATATGAGTGATTCTCAAAAATAGAGACCCCTTCAGGTGCTTGGTATCTGATTGGCTTCCTCTGGGACTTTGCGAAACACCCATGCTCGCCAATCCGGCATATGACCCAGCTGCTACCTGCTCGGGCTTGACGCTATAGACAAATCAAACCTGGACGATGTGTCCAACAAGCGTCCGTATAGCAGTTGATCAAAAGGCCTTTTCATGGCATGGCAATCAGGGAAAACACAACAAAAGATGACTCAAACACCACCAAATGGAACAAGCTTCCCATGGTCATTTTGGGGCCGAGCGGAATATTGCTCAACCCCCAAATGTCCCTTTTGAGATCATCCCACCCAAAGAAGCTCAACTCAAAATCAGGAGCCTGAGCAAACCAAATTCCAGCGTCTGCCAGCGCGCCAGTTGTGGCGAGGTGTATCGAGTTCTTGCAAGAGTGGCAACACTTCGCTTGTGAATGCTCAAGCCTGACCACATTCCCGTCAAGGGCCCCGGCTCGTTGCCTGTCATGCACCATGTTGTACTGCACCTGCAAGCCAAGCGTGGACACTGCTGTCTCAAGCAAGGTTACAGCATGTGCATCATCACGTTTTTGCTCCACACGACAAACACACACATAAACAACAACTACAAGCAAATTCAGAGTCTTAGCATGAAAGCAAGAAGTCTGCAACGCGCGATAAACATGGCTGGGCCAACAAGCAGACAGTCCGCAAGTTGTCTGGGGTAAGCACATTTTGCAAACAGCTTCACATCGTCCTGATGGGTTTACCGGAAATGAGGGATCGATGCCATCCTCAACGAGTTCGGGGGTGGCAAAGGCCAAATATATATATATATATATATATATATCTACCTGATTGATTTGTTCCAAGGCCTTCCGATGAAACACCAACAACAAATGCCGAGACATGCCGAGACATGCCGAAACAGGTGTGATGTGTGATGCGCCCAAAGCGGCAAGTGCCCTGCAAATCAAACAAAAAGGTTGTGTAGAGCTGCCTGATGACTGCTAAGTCCCTCAGGCTGATCCTGCAACACCAAATGCTCAGTCACGGAAGAAATCCGGATGCAAGTTCGCCTCCCTGGGTACCCTGGACTTTCCATGCTGCATGTGGATTAAGCCAGGGCAGCTGAACGCGACTCCTGGCATTTCACAAAAACCTCACTCGCACCGTGATGCTTCATCTGGGTGTGTCTCAAAATTGGGTTTCCTTTGTGGATGATATTAAAAGAACAAGAAGGAACCCCAAAAGGGGACTCTTTGTGGATGGTATTAAAGAAACAACAAAACAGAAAACCAACCGTCGCCGTATGAAGACGGTTCCGCCCACCGCCTTGTACCACGCTGGATCCGGGCGTTGATCCGACTTCCAACCTCCGATACGAGGATCCGAAGATAACTTTTGACACCAGTGCTCAGTTGTTCAGTGACCCTGGAAAAGAAGGGAACCCTTTTTGGGGAAGACCATTTTTAGTGGGGCAGCCACCAAAAAAAAGGGAAACCGGGTGCCACTGAACCACTGAGAGTGTCTTCTTGTAATCCTCCATCCGCTTGAGTCCCCTGGGGAAAACCAAAACACAAATCCAGTAGTAATAGATTCCCATTAAAACCGAAAAGGAACAACAAGTGCTAGAGCAAATGGAAGTAATTCTGAGAGCTTAGCATTTCTCCGGACCAAGAACCTCTTTCTGTGGTGAACACTGGTGCTTCTTGTCGTACGCGATTGCGCGATGCAAGTGTACAACGACCTTCCACATCACATGACACAACACAGCTGCAGCTTGGATTTGCAAACTGAACCGGAGGTATATGGGTATGGGTCAAATTAAACCACCAGGAATTGGACCGCAGGTTTTAGTCTTTCCATTTACCGGGGCAAGCCATTCGGGGTTACCTTATTTGGGACATCATTTAGGTGGGGATTCATGCTCACCAGCCACTTGTGACGTGGTTCCATATAAAATGTCTTAGCCATATGAGTCAAAATCAAACCCGGTATTAAATGGTCTACCCAGAACCATGCAAAGAATTAAGAAGGCGGCCTCAGCTATCTATGGTTAAGATTATCCCTTACTAACCGTGATCTACCCAGGTTTTGCTTGTGACTCATATGATTTCTCTCCTTCTGAAGCAAACAGGACACGACTTGAGCAATACCTCCATTTGCTTAAGTCCCCTGGAAATACAGGCTGAGGTGTTTTTTTTTGCATTGCCCTGGCATTAGCCTAACCCTGGCACAGCCTGGCGTGCACGAAAGGAGACACTAACGGATAAAGGTTTAGGGTAGGTTTAGGGTAGGTTTGGGGTAGTCCGTTTAGGGTAGGTTCAGGCCCTGCATTGGTTTAACATCCTCAGCATCACCAGGTTTTGGTTTGGGCTGGGTTTAGGGTGGGTTCCAGGTTGGCTCAGGGTCGGCTCTCGATGGGTTCCAAACCTATTGAGAGCAAATCTGGGGGTGGCTGTGCTTGCAGCAGATGGTTTAGTGCTGGTTTATGGTGGGGCTTCTTGGGGTTGGTCTTGGGTAGGTTTAGGGCTGCTGCAGCCATGGCTGTGTTTAAGCCCACTTGGGTGGTTTGAGGTAGGTGCCACCCCCAAACCTTTGTCCCACCGAGCCCCCGACCAACCAACCAACCACCAACCACCCAACCACCCAACCACCCAACCACCCAACCACCCAACCACCCAACCACCCAACCACCCAACCACCCAACCACCCAACCCAACCACCCAACCACCCAACCACCCAACCACCCAACCACCCAACCAACCAACCAACCAACCAACCAACCAACCAACCAACCAACCACCCAACCACCCAACCAACCAACCAACCAACCACCCCAACCACCCAACCACCCAACCACCCAACCACCCAACCACCCAACCACCCAACCACCCAACCACCCAACCACCCAACCACCCAACCACCCAACCAACCAACCAACCAACCACCCAACCAACCAACCAACCAACCAACCAACCAACCAACCAACCACCTGCCAGGGTTAGCCCTGTGCCAGGGCTAGGCAAAAAAAGAACCTTTCCTGGAAATAACATGAACACAAAATCCAGTAGTGATTGATTCCCTTTAAAACCAACGGGGGAAATAAAACATATTCCTAATCAAATGGAAGAATAGGTTCATGCGACCCTGCATTTGCGCCTTGAGGTCCCGGCGGTTCAGCGCACCAGGGCTCTTGGAAGCTGTGAACTTGGAAGCCCTCGGTCTGACACGAAGCAATGAGAACATGGGGCAAGTAAAAGCCAAAGGGAAAGCTCTGGGCAAGTATGAAGTCACCTTTTTGCTAGTTTTCCCCTTTGAAACCAACTCTAAGGAACACCATCTAGCTGGGCTGTTCGTTTTCTGATCCCCCGCCAACAGTGACTAACTGTTAGTGGGTTAAATTCGGAAACTACCACTAAACACTAAAAGGATCTAAAAAGCTAAGGAACCGGATGGCTGGGAGCCACCAAGGGCAAGGGTGACTAGCCCAGATGATCCAGCAGAAAATTAAAACACAAAGCTCAATGAATCTGCACATCTTACGATAATTCCAACAGCTGACTTAAGAATTGGATCCCCAAGTAAGAACCTTTGTCATGGCGAGCTTGCTAATTTGATGGGCAGAATAAATGGAGAACATGGGGCAAGGCCAAGCCCTCCAGATCAGCCAATATTCAACTTCCCAAGCCCAACCCCTAGTTGTTTGCAGTTGCCTTTCAATGCATTCCGCGAATCTGGGCTTATTTATATGGGTGCGTGTGTGTTTTGAGGGTACCCGTTCTTTAGTTGTTTTTTGCTAAAGGAGAACCAAAAGGAAAGCCTACAAAAAGAAGCAGCCCCATATCGAGACCTGTATACCTCTTGACAACCTTCGAACCAAAAGTCAATGGGCTTGGACACTGAACAATCGCTTGACGGAGAGGAACCCGCTGTTCCAAGGTCCTCCAGTAGAGAGGTTAGAATTAGGGTACCCCCCTTTTTTTCTGTAGTCTATTTTAGTAGGCTTCGGAACCCTCCCAACCAAAAAAGAAACGGAAAAAGAAACGGCACCACTCGCTGGAAAACCTAGCCACTGTTCTTCTTGCAACCCCTCACTGCAAACTCCACGGTCCCCAAACACAACCACTTCCAATGGGTTGCCTGTGGATAGGCCTCGCAACTGGGCCAAAGAGGTGCCACTTGGAAACATCCCACGTGTTACTCCGAGATGGCTGTGGCTCAAAAAACCGGAATTCCAAAATGGGTTGCCCTGGTAAGTGGAAACATGGACCAAAACCTGCGGTTTGCCCCTCCTGTTTAATTTTGAGCCACACCCAGATTGTCAATCCTTACGAAAGCCATGGTCATGGTTTCTTTCATATGCCTTGACATATGCACCAACCCGGAGTAAAGCGGGCTTGGAGCATAGCACATATGAACCTCTGGTATGAACCCCGGGCTAATCATGCACTTCCTGTCGCTAGTCACCGGGCTTGTGTCCTGAGCATGTTCACGTGTTCCTTTCGCCAGACACACACCCCACCCTAGCCATGCGCGCAGCCCCGGAAAGCAAAGACCATTTGGGTCAGCCGCAAGTCAACTGCTCAGGCGCTGTCCATGGACCGTCATAGATCCCAGATGATAGGAATGAGCTGGTCTCGCTCCTCACGAGGCTCCATTCCTAGCAACTTGAGGACAAACTGGTTGCTACATGACGCATGGTCAAAGCAACGCATCATGTCACAACTGTCTAGCCTCAAACACATTTGTTGAAGCAACCAGTGAAAAAATGGGGTCAACAAGGCCCATGGAATGAATGGAAGATGTTTAACAAGACAAGAGTCATGGGCGACACAACCGGGGACCAAATCAGGTAAGTGGGGTGAGAAACCGCGAACAAAAGAAACATGGTTCAGTCCCATAAGAAACTATATTCTAGGTCCTGCAAAAGGGAGGTTAGAATAAGGGTACCAACATTTTTCTGTACTCAATTTTAGTAGAGGAACCCTCCCAACCAAAAAAGAAAACGGTGAGAGGTCGGTTGCACCAATCGTTGTGGGACCTAGTCTTTCTCGTGGCCATTCCCATCAGCGCTCCTGCCGAGCTTTGGCGTCTTTGGCGAGGTGGGCGGCGGCTGGGACGGGCCAGCGGATGTGGGAAACCAATCGCAGGTCTTCATTGCCAAGCGCCACAAAGGTACTGCAAAGGTTTTCCCTTTGAGCATTTTTTGAGGTGGAAACTTTAATTGAGCTCCCAAGTGGGGAAATTCCTAGGGATCCCTAGTTGAAGTTTGAAGGGGCATTGTACCTAGGTGTCCTTTTAGGGCAACTAGATGGATATCCCTGGTAATTAGATGAGGAAAAACCACCAGGTAAACCAGGGCCATCTATTGTTCTACCAAAACAACCAAAAAGGACACCTATGTAAAGAGGCATTGTACCTTAGTAAATGGTTATTAAGCCTTGTTACGATCCAGTTACCATGGTACAATGCCCCTTTAAGTAGGCAGTTTGGGGTCAGAGCATGTGTGATGCGGTTCTCCGGTTGAACACGAGGTTATCTATAAGATGAAGTTGAAAACCACGGTGTGCCACCGGGTCCAACGCATGCTCATAGGTGTCTTTTTTTGCAAAATAGATGGCCCTAATAGATGATTGAACCACCATGTAAACCAGGGCCCTCGAATTATGCGCATGCTTTTGCGCTTCGTGCGGAGCCTTTGGTTCAGGATGCGCCTGGCTGATCAGATCAACCTATGCACGCCCCAGGCTAAGCAGCCAACATCTGATAGGGCCCCGTTCACATCTCAAGCAGTGCCAAACACACCACGTCATGCAAAAGGTACATGGCTAGGTCTTCCAGTACAGAGGTTAGAATAAGGGTACCTTTTTTTCTTCGGTAGTCTATTTTAGTACCCAGAGGCTCCTGGGCTTTCCATGGAGGACCCGACCCCTCCATTAGACACCCCAGAGGTAGTTGGGGGTCTCAAACCAGGTTGTTTGAACTAAATCAATCGAATTGGAGCCTCCGGGTAGGGGAACCCTCCCAAAAAGGGGTGAGAAAGGGCACCTAACTGGGGTCCCAGCCTGAGATGAAACGATCCAAAACCCCGATGCCCCGCCTCTTGAGGCTGGCTGGCTGCAATCTTTTGCCCCAGCCTTGGCGTCTCCGGACGGTCAACAGAAATGTGCCACTGACAAGCTGACGTGCGCGGGGAACAAGGGAGGCTCTTTGAAGAAACTCTGTATTGTAGTGCTTCCAAGCAATTGCACTCCTCAAAGCAAACAACGGGAATATATCAAATTTAGTTGGATAAGGATTGGTGAGTCATGTTGGGTCCCAAAACAAAATCAAACCGGCTTCGGCTCTGCCAACACAAGTGTGCACAAAGGCATCTTTCAAGATCGCGACCCTTCGGGCGCCTGATAGCACTGATTCTGGGATGGTTTAGGATTGCTTGGAACATACCTGTACTGTTTGCCCTCAGGGCAAACACAACAAGTGGGCATGTCGTTTTTTAGGGGACCCCCCAAAAAATGATGGTCTTCCTTTTGCTTCCCCTTCATTTTCTTTTTCAATTCGGGAACCCTCAACAAAACGAATACTCTAGGGGTACCTTCCCCATTCTTTCCAGGCATCCTTCTTTCTAAACAATAAAATCACCCAAAAGCCTGGAAAACACCTGGTTTTTGAAAAGCACGATGGTTGAACGGAATGGGAAATCAACCCCTACTAGGTCCTCCACAGGAGAGAGGTTAGAATAAGGGTACCCTTTTTTCTGTAGTCTATTTTGGTAGGGTCCCGAACCCTCCCAACCAAGGGTGAGACAGGGCACTGGGGGACCTACCCTAGAAATACACGAATCTCCGCGCCTGACCTCAGACCCGATCCCCGTGTCCGGGCTCCAGGCTTCTCTTGGATGGCGCGTGCCAGATCGCCCCCTGGCGACCCCATCTCAAGAACTGGCGACCCAAACTCGGCCTGAAGGGACGGATTCCTTTGGTCAGGTTCCATGTGAATTTGGTGGGAGACTGGTATTTGTCCTTTGGGGTTGACTGGTATTTTAGCCCATTACAACTCGGTACTTCCGATGTCCCAGGAAAAAATGGGACATTGGGCACTCACTGAATACTGTGGACGGTTGCGACATCCATTCCGCACCTAAGAACCCCATGGAATTCCCTTGGAAATACCCACAAGCAATGGCTTGCCATGGCTTCATAGTGGTGCGGGATCTTGTCCATCCGCAGTAGTGAACAATTTGGAGAAGCCACCAACACCATGTTGCCAACTAGCACCGCGGCTAGCGAGTGAGGTAGGCAACAGCATCATGGTGGTTCAGTCCAGACCTTTCTCCTCACATCAAGGATTAAAACTTATCTTGCAGAGCATCATGTCCATGTCATTGAAGGGCAAAAAAGGTGTGAGGGTTCTATCGACGTCTCCCTGCATTTGTTCCAAAAGTCAGCTCCAACCCAATGCTAATGTTTAGTGCCCTCTGGGCCATGCCAAGCCAAGTGGCCCGAAGAAGATATCCTGTTTTTGGCATGTGTGTATCATCTTATTGACATTCGTCGACCCCCGCCGCCCTCAGCGCCTGAGCCACTCTGTCGTGCCTGCGCTTCCGCCTGGAAGGGGCTGCTACTCAGACAGAATAGAGCAGCTGCAATTCAAATCAAATCAAGCGCTAAAGCAGATAAACTGCGATAACATCTGCACCCCCGCGCTGAAAAGCAAAGCAACGCCAAGACCGCCGCATGCTTCCCTAAAACCATATGACGCCGTTGCGAGTGCATCTCAGCAGAAAAAAGCAAAGAGGGGAAGGATTAGGTGCGCGAACTTCCAGCCCAACATTCAGACTGCAACAACACAAACGCTGCTCAAACATAGGTCTATCGACTCACCTTGAGAGCCCCTGTGGGTGAATGATTAGTTTCATACATACATGAACACACGTACAAACCTGTTTCTGTGTATGCATGCATAGGTGTATAATGCCAGTATCAACTTGCATATGCATATGCATAGGCTCTTTCATACAGCAAGTCATGTGTATTCGCATATATGCAGGGTAATGCAGACATGCATCATATAAACGCCGGCCAGCTGACAGCGCCCCGGTTTGAAGTGATGGATTTTCAACATGTCCCACGGTGGAGGGGCATGCCCCTAGCAGTCCAAAACCGGACATACTGTGGATGGACGAAAACCTGCACCACCTAAAAAACCCTGGGGTGATGCTTCCCCTGTAAATACCAACAAACAAC